AACTTCCATCCTCTGCAAGCTCTTTAAGATGTTCTTAACCGCAGAACTATCGCTCTAGCCCTGTTTTGTAATGTGAGTTTTCTTGGCCTGGCTAGGACCCGCCTCCCCGTAGTGGTATCCCCACCTGTCACACGGGAGACAGGGATTCGATTCCCTGATGGGGAGCCAGCTCAGCTAGCTCAGTTCATAGAGCATGAGACTCTTAATCTTAGGGTAGTGGGTTCATGCCTCATGTTGGGTGCCATTTTGTAACGTGAACTTTCTAGTCCTGACTGGGTCCTGCCACCCTTCTCAGCCCTAAAGAAAACACACGGACACTATATTAGTATAAAGCTGTTGACTGGTGACTTGGGCTTCTTATTAACCCATAACTAGTAATGTAAATATTTCCACGTGGTCTTATCGGAGAAAGGGTCCCGACCTCACATCCTACATGGTGGCTGACACAGCGTGTCCGCAGAAAAGAAAGCAACTTTCTGTTTGTCCCTGCTTATATTCTGATTCTGCCATCTATGTTACTTCCTGCCTGGCCAATCAGCCAATTAGTGTTTTATTCATTTACCAATAAGAGAAACATATACAAAGAAGGACTTCCCCCATTAGGGGACAGCTTGAGATGGTTCAGTGGGTAAGGTATTGAAAGGCCAGGATAAAGAAAACCCCCTCAGCAGACAAAATAAGGCCTAGGATATAGGGTGGCTAGCTGGTTCAGCAACTCTGTTCCAGGAAAAGGCTAGCCATAAAAAGTTAGATTAGAATCTTACAATCTTAAGGAATAGGGAGTTTCCCTTTGTGATTTCCTTCGGGACCCTTCACTGGTATTCTTGGTATTTGGGGTTGGGGTTTCTTCCCTTCACTGGTATTCTTGGTATTTTGGGTTGGGGTTTCTTCCTTTAAAAACCCCTATTCCCAGCCATTCGGGGTCGAGACTCCTCTACCCCTGCGTGGGATATGAGTCTCAGCCCTAGCTCGCTGGCTCCAGTCAATAAACCTCGTGCGATTGCAGCAAGGACAGTCTCTCGTGAGTTCTTGGGAGGGGGGGTCGCGTCATCCTGAGACTTGAGGATCTTCCCTTTCGGGGAGGCCTTACAGTATCTGTGGCCAAGCCTGGGGATGTGAGTTTGATCCCCAGGCCCACATGGTGGTACTAACTCCTCCAATTGTCCCTGACATGTGCACACATACACACAAAATAGATACAAAATGAAAAGAAATGGGCCAGGGAGATGGCTCAGTGGGTGAAGTATTTGCTATAAAAGAGGACCCGTGTTCAGATCCCACGTAAATGCCTGGTAGCCATGGCAACTCACCTGTGATTCCAGCCTTGGAGCCGCAGATGGAGCTGGCTAGTCATAGCCCTATTTATGAGCTCTGGGTTTGACTGTGAGATCCAGCCTCAGTTAACAAGGTGGAAAAGCTGATCTCTGACGTCAGCCTTGGGACTCCTCTATGCCAATGCACACAAATGTACCCATCCACAGGCAAGCCCCACACAAAAGCACAACACGCAACATACCACACACACACACACAGAAATGAAAAAAAAAAGACACCGATAAAAAAGAAAATGGATTTGTTTGTACTTTGAAACACTGGAGTAGGAGGACACATAACCAAGTTCCCCCTGTTTTGTCTGTGGCCATCTTACAATTTAACCCTTTTACAAATTTTTATTATTTTTAGTATGTGGGGGGCTCATGTTGTCATGGTGAGTGGTGAGTATGTGGAGGCCAGAGGGTGCCTTCCACTACTCCCCTTCCACCTTTACTTGGATTTCAGGATTTGAACTCAGGTCCTCAGTTTTACCTGTGGAGCCATTGCCAGCCTCCATCTTACAGTTTCTAAGAAGCTCACCAGACCACATGTAAACCTAACGTGAGGAGGGATAATTGTCTTTTCCTAGGGGAAGGCTGCCTGCCCAAGACTGTTTTCAGTTTTCAAGTCCAGGAATAGAGAAACGGGTGTCTGAACAGAGCCCCTGTTTTGAAAGAGAAAGGAATTGGGTTTGTGAGATTCCTGCACATTCTAGGCCTGCCAGATTTCTCTGTGACCCATCCCTTTGGTTTCTGTGTCTTTGGAAATTAGTGTCAGGGTCCATACTCCTGATAAACCCCATTAAAAAAAAAAAAAACAGTAAATTTGAAAGTGATAGTTGAAGGGGAGGGAGTCAATGGTTCTCGGCTCAAGAAACTTTGTCATGCCTGGCTCTGAGGTGACCAGAGTTTCTCCATCTTCTACAGCAATAGTGCTGATCTGAGTTTCTCCATTTTGAGACCAGTAACCAAGACAGAATGTCTCTATGTCTGTTCGTATAAGTAACCATTTGCCAACACACCAGGAGACACAAACTGAAAAGTAATTGATTTGTACCAATAAATGATGTCTGTGACTACATCAACTTTCCAGAAATGCCAGGCACATGAGGTTATCTGGATGTGACCTCACCTGAGCTGTCTTCCCACCTCACATTATTTGAAAGTGCCTTTCTCCCTTTCTTCTTTTCCTTCTCTCTCTTTTTTCTCTTTTTGTCCCTCCCTTCCCTCTTCCTTTCTATTGGTTCTCACTCTGTAGTTCAGATATCTCAAACTTGCAGCAAGCCTCCTGCTTCATACTTTAGGCTGCTGGGCTTAAAGGCCTGAGCCACCTTGGTGCTCGACTTATTTAAAGGGGTTCCAGGGAAACTTTATCCCTTCCCCGCCCCCTCTTTTTTTTGGAGCCTATCCTGGCACTCGCTCTGGAGACCAGGCTGGCCTCGAACTCAAGAGATCCGCCTGCCTCTGCCTCCCGAGTGCTGGGATTAAAGGCGTGTGCCACCACCACCCGGCCTATTTTCCCCTCTTAATGAGACCATGGGGGCAGTTCCCGAGGAGAGCCAGATCAAAAACTAGGCCAAAAGGCTAAATAACTCCTTACTGAGCCAGAACAAAGGGGAGTGAAGGCATGTGTGTTGAATGTAAACAAAATCCATAATCTCAGTTGTGAAATTCACTAAATTATTACATTGGGGAAGGAGTCTGATTAAACTCAAAGGTCAAACAAACTTCTGCCTTAAGTGTTATTTTAACATCCTCATTTGAAATGTGAAAAAGGAGCCCCCAGCCATCTACACAGCAAAGTGTTGAAATGCAGCTTCCCAGCTGGGAGATTTCAACCTCACTCTGGGCTAGTTGCTCTCCTCCCTCCCATCCTTAAACTTTCCCTATTTCTCTCCTATCTCTGTCAGCTCAGCCCCTGCCTTCCAGACAGCCCAGATGAGTCATGAACACTCAACCCTTTGGAAGCTGTTCTGTAACCTGTTAAAGCGGTTCAGTGGTGTGGTGTGATGAGTTATTACAGTGAGTGATGAAGATTGGGTTGGGGTGAAAAACATGTTTGTCTGTGGTCACAGCAGAGATATCACAGTTGAAGAGACTTGTGTATTTGTTACTCAACCCGTTCTGACGTTATGAGAAGGCACGATTGATTTCGCCCATCTACTGGCGATCCTGCCCCAGAGGCTTTTAAACGCAGGTAGTGGTGCCTGTAGAATTTGTCCTAGGACCTAAGTAGTTTTCAAGTGAGCTCAAAAAGTAAGGCTTGGATCCAAGGGACTGAGTAGGCAAGAGGCCACACAGGTTTCAAGTGGTGTGCAGATGGCCCTGTCCTGATGCAGAACCTGAGCCTGCGCAGTCCTTCCTGGCCTGTTTTAGGATCAGCCAGCCACCTGCTTGGTGGGGGGAGGGAGGCTCAGGTGGCTGTTGGTCCTCAGCTCAAATGACTCACTGTGGTCAGGAGGGGATCCGTGGTCATCAACAGGCTGTTTGGGGCTAAAGGGAACGCAAAGCCGACCCTAGACGAGATTGATAGAGGCTTCCTCCGGGGTCGGATGTGGATACAATGTTGCCAGCCAGTTGCCAACTATAAATAAGTCAAAGGCCAGAGCACGTGGAAGTGACAAGCGATCCGGGTGCCGCAATAGACACTGAGGACAGTCCCCAGAATTCCTGGATGAGATCCTGATCCAGGGGTGGGGTGCAGGGAGGGTTGGGAGTGGGGTCCAAGGAATTGGCCAGAGATCCAGAAATATCCGGGCCTCCCAAGAGAACCCAGAGGGAAGGTGGTCTAACCTGAGTCATCAAAACATCCTGGGGCTCAAAGGGACCTCGAGAGCTGGGAAGGGGGCCTAGGCTGGGGGTCAGGAGGATTCTAGGAGACTGAATTCCAGGCTGGGC